CCCCCCCCCAGTAACCCCAGTATCTGTTTTCATCGTTGCTGGGCTGCTGCTGGCTGCCGTTCCACAGCCTGGCTGCAGCACAGCGGCTTTTTCTTCATGTGCAACGCACGCGCGTGGCGGCCGGGGAGAGCAGAGCGACGCGCTCCAGTCGCTAACGACTCCGCAGCGTTCGTGGCGAGAGAAACGATCCTCGGCTTTATTGAAAATGCACCTCAGCAGGGTTTGTTAGCACAGGGCCCAAAATTAAAACAACGCAGAGGCACGAGGTAAGCGAGCGCTAAGGGAGGCGACTGCGCGGACTCGGAGCCGCTCTGCTCCGCTCCGAGATTCCGGCAAGAGCTGAATCTTCAGCTGGTGTAAATCAGGGCAGCGCTGACTTCCACGAGGCTGCGCCAATTTACGTCATCTGAGGATCTGGCCCAAATTCATGCAAGTCATTTCCAAAAATCCAACATTTTACTGTCATGAAAATGTCAACATTTATTTCTCGGCTTTGCCGCGGTGCCTGGAGGTTGAGCTAGCCTGTAACCCCGCTCTGCAAAAAAGGGCAGGAGAATTTACCAGCACCAGGCAAAAAATACGCCGCTCTGCCATGGCGGTGTCTTGCCCTTTGAGGGAAGCCGGGTTTTTCAGCAGGGCCTGGTCATTTTATACACTTTGATTTGCAAAACCGCCTCCTGAAGCTGGTCAGAGAGGTGAGTCCCCCCCCCCTGCCCTCACCAGACCTCCCCTCGTGTGGCCCTGGGGGGGGTTAGGGCTGAGTCTCCGAAGGCGGGAGCTGAGCTCCTCAGCTTGGGCGCCCTGAGCACTGGCATGAGCCCCCGTTGCCGGCAGAAATCTCAGCCAGAGTTTCTCAGTCCTGCGGAGCAAAGGGAAGGGTGCTGGCGGGGTGGGGGGGGGCAGCTCCCAGCTGCTCCGGGCCTGGCACAACTGCTCGGGGACAGCTGGCCCACGCCGGCCACCGCGGCGAGCGCTGCCCTGTGACACCCCGCAGAGGGTCTCGGAGAAACGCCTCATCCCACCACAGCATGAAATCTGTAACTGAGACTCTTGACGTGATGGTACGTAACAAAAAAATATAAATACGAGGTGTTGCCAAAATGCAACCCGGAAGCAGGAGAGGGTGAGCAGCAGAAGCTCGCAGCGGGGGGGGGGCAGCTGCCAGCCCTGAGCTGTCCCGGAGTTTCTGTCCTCTACGGGCCTGGCAGGAGCGTGCAGAGAAGGTCGATGACAGGCGACGCTGACTGCACGGTGTCGTATTCTGCAAACAGGTGACAGAGGTTCTCCGAATCTGTCTGGCTTTTGGCCACGAACCCAAAGATTCTTTGAAAAAAGGAGAGAGGTTTATTCGGTTTGCATCCAGGAAGCCAAAGGATACGCTCGAACTAGCCCCAGCCACAAAGCAAAATCCTGGTTCCAGCAATTCCACCTTGGCCGGCTCCCCAATCACGTTTACTTGGAAGCGGAGCAGCCGGGAGGAGTGTTTCTGGCAAGGCCTCCCAGCTGTGAAAAAGCTTCTTGAACGCAAGGTAGAGCCAGATAGAACCTCGCCTCCTGAGCCCGGAGCAGGCGAGTCCCTGGGAAGGCTGATGGATTTGGGCGGGGGCTTCCCACCGGAGGGGATGCGGGGAACGGGCCCCGGCCGAGCCTCTCCTCAAACCCACAGAGCAAAACCCCCCGTCAAGCTTCGCCCATCTGTCCCACATCTCATCCTGACACCCCCTTTCCTTGCACGCCCTTTGGCTTCGACCCTTTGCGGCTCTGCAGAGCTCGGCAAGGCGCCCGCTGGAGCGGAGAGGGGCTGGGCCGGGGCGGCATCTCCCCGCGCCGCAGCGGGGCCGCGGGACCTCCCCGCGGGGTCTTACCTCGAAGACTTGCAGTACTTCTGCCACCTGAGGGGAGAACAGAATTGGATTTGCTCAAAGGCCGGTATTTACCTCATTCCATCAGCCGCGAAGCCAAGGTTTACATCTGGCTAAACCCCAGCGCGTTAAGCCTGGGGTAGGGGCTGCACAGCCGGTGGTTGGGATTTGGAATTTGAAGCGGTGGGGAAAGGGGAGACCCCCCCCCCGCAACTCACTTTCTGTTCTGAGGGTCCGTCCCGCAAAACCTGATGGCAGCCAAGGGGTAGTGTCGCCTGAAGAACACCCTGGGGAGGAGGAGGAGGGCGGGGAGTTAGAGGAGGGACGTTCTGGGGTGGCAGACGCAGGTGTTCGCAAATTCAAGCCCCGCTCCAAGTGTTGTGGCCGCTGGGGATGGGGGGGGGTCCCGCTCCCTGGGGCTGCCCCCGCGCCGGCAGCTCTTGGGTCCAGCTCCCGCCTCGCCCCCTTGAGATGCTGCCACTGGCTTCTTGTAGAGCAGCGTCACGCCCTGCGCTGGCCCAGGGGGGCTCAAGCCCATCCCTGGGTTACGACACGACTCCCGGGTCGGTTTTTCCTGGGGCGCTGCAGATCAGGAGCGTTCCCGTGAGCTCTGCCCCGCTCCCCAGCACCCGCGAGCCCGTGGCCCTCCCCGGTGGCTCTTACCTCCTCTGGACGTCCGTCAGCGTGACGCCCTGCTCGGTCACTCGGAAGTGCACGAGGGTGGGAGTGGGCAGGGTCTCCAGCTCGAAGGTGGAGGAGACGGCTTTCTGGATGGCCGGGGCTCCCGTGAGCGTCTCCATGTGCACCGAGCTGAGGTACAGGACGTTGCACACTGCAGGGACACACAGAGCCCGGCTCAGCGCGGGGCACGTGCAGCGCCGAGCGCGGCGGGGCAGGGCCCGGGGCTGGGGCGCAGCAGCGTCCTGCAGAACCGGACACACGTACGTGGGTCAGATTTGTTTTGATGAAAATTAAAGATTGGGTGACTCAGAAATTCTTCCCAAATTTATTTGGGTTTATTTTAATTCTTTGCGCTAATTGTTTAAAAAGTCAAAGCATTTAATTTCCGGTTTCTAAATGTCACATTTGGATTTTTTTTTTTTCTGTTTGTTACATATTTCCTTTAATGAAAAGCAGAAATACCCCGAGCCGACTAACAGCCGAAGGCCAACCTAAGACATGACATTTCAGGCTGATTGAGCTGTTTAAAGGGCTGTTCTGGGTCAAACAAAACTTTTCAGCTTGCCAAATTATTTTTCAGAATTTCCAACAAAACAAAGCGGTTCCTGACTCCCCTGACTGCGCCGTCGGGCTCCCGCCCATCGCTCTCTGCTCTCACCTGGAGCCCACCCGCCTCATCCCCCAGGCTGGGGGCACCCGGGTGAGGGGTGGGGGGGGAAGCAACGACCCTTCCCCGACCCGCCGTGCAGTTTCCCTGCGTCTCCCCTAAGGCCCCTCAGCAGTTTAAGGTCCCTCCTGGAAACTCCAGGTGTTCGTTACCCATCAGTCCAATATCGGGGAGAGGCTCAGAAACCCGGGGCTGTTTGAGATTGTGGGAATTCTGGGACTTTTATCACCCTCGTGACCTCAAGAACGGTCTTTTCAAGATTTCCTTCGCCCTCATGAGGACCAGAAGTCTCCTTTCTTTAAAAATATCAGGTTCCCTGGATGGGAAGAAACGCTGGCGGTGCCGCTCGGCGGCGCGGCGGGGCGGGGGTGACCCCCAGGGACAGCGCTGGCGCCTCGGCTTCTGCTGCCAGCGCCGTCAGAACGGGCGACGCAAAAGAGAGAGCCTGGACTTTGACAGGGAAGGGCTAAAGCCCAAAGCACGGCTCCGTGCCCAGGGCTGGAGCTGCTGCCGGCCCGGGGGTCCCCCCCTCTCCCCTCACCGGCAGTTCTCCTCGGCGGGGTCAGCGCGGGCTCGGCGGTGCCGTCAGGGCCGTCAACTCCGTCGGCGAGATCTGCACAGGCGACAAGGAGCAGCCCCGGTGCCGCCGGTCAGGCTGTGCCGGGTGTCCCCCCTCTGCCCTGCCGTGAGTCCTGATCTCACACGAGGCCCGAGGCCCGGGACCGCGCGTGGCGGCGGTTCAGAGCAGCCTAAGTGTCCCCCGCCTCCCTCCCC